TAACATAACACTAAGCCAAACACCAAAAAACAACTACATATGTGTATGTACAGCCACAGACATATACATATACATGTACATATATATATATAAATACATTAAGAAATGGTTATAAAAAACTGAAACCGAAGTGAAACAAGTAGTAGGAAAGAGGAGAAATAAAAAGCGATACTCATTAACGCATAGCGTAAAGAAAAAGAGGCATATAATCATATTTTAATTTCCACAAGACGCATAAGCAAAAGATAAAGTTGTGATAGAGTTCTTCAAACATAAAAGGGATAAAATTGTTCAAGTTAATCTGTGTGACATGTGCTCTGTTCTATGTTTTTGGTTTGACCTAGTTTTCCCCAGTCTGTTTGATTATGTCATTCTGTTCACTTGTGTCTTGTTAATTATCTCATTAGTTCCCTTTCTTTGGTCCATGTTTATAAGCCCTCAGTTCTCTCTTTGAGTTTTTTTCCGTTCTCGTCTCTGTTAAATTGCTTTCCTCGCCTTGTCTCCTGGATTTATCCAAGGGCGTAGGTTTGCTTTTGACATTGGCGCCCAGTTTCATGTCACCTAAAGTTTTTATTTATAGCTTATGGTTAATGATGGGCAAATGAAGCCTCATGAAGCACTGAGACTGTCCTCTGACTGTTTCGGGAAACGGTTCAAAGCTTCGAGTGTCTCGAAAATTAATCTGGTGGTTAATAAAAATATAGCAGTCAAAATCCTGTGACGAAGCATTTACAACATATTCCACAGATCGATTCAAGTTACGTGCACAAATAAAAACCTAACAGTGTGTGTGTTTGTGTTTGTTGTATTTCTGTCTCTGATAAATTAATTTACCCATTAAACTGTGCAATTTAATACCAGTACGAATATCAATATGATGTAATAGAAGAATAATGTACACATATGAATTGCATATGAGAAATATAAAATTTTTCTGAAATAATTTGTATTCTTCATATTACTTGTATGACCGGGTATCTAAAATGTAACTGAATAAGTCCAAATTAAAACTTACTTGTAAAGTAAGATCTGGGGATTCGAACATTCCGACACGCAAAGTGAATCACGCACGTGACTGGACAGAAAGTGAATGTTGACTATTTTAACAATGTGTTTACTACTTTTCTGGACATTGAATGTGGTAATTTAAAAAAAGCCTCTATGAGATTATTCAAAAAATAGTGACACATCCCTAATTTCTTCTATGTACAATGGTACTATTTATGTGATATAAGTAATACATTTTGATGCATTTAGGAAGTACATACTTGATCAAGAACATTAAGTATATTCTGGGTCTTCTCTCTGATAGCTCCTCCCTTGTTTCTGAAGATCTGTACCAGCTTGCTGTGGTGCTTGTCCAAGGAAGCCATGAATCGCGTTTGAAGTGGAACAGTTGTTACTCTCATAAATTCAGCATTGATCTTAAAAAAAAAAAATTTAATTCAAATGTAAAAACTGTTTTGTGTGAGATCTTGGGTTTGACATCAGGGGCCAAAATTTGCATTTTGGCTCAATTTTCAGTTTCTTATGAAAGGGGGGGATAATTTACTTTACAGATCTTCACTGACCTATTGCCATTAATTTAAAAAGTAACTTGCCTCATCCATTGTAAACAATGCAGGCCATCTCTCTTTCAACTCTTCCACTGCTGATTCCTTTGCCACAATGTCCTGTCTTCGCAGTGAAAAGGTCTTGTCCATTTTATCCTTTACCACTGCACGATTGTTGCGCTTCTTTACTTCACTTAAAAGTGACAGTCTCTCATTTTCCAATTTGTCTGGGGTCTCTCCAGTTGGAATGTCAGGTATGTGGTTGGCCTCTCCTCTCTTAGGTCTCTTGACTTTTTTTGCTGGTAATCCATCTTCTGGAGCTTTAGACTTAAGTGAATTTGCAAGTATTTCAGAACACCCAAGGCCCTTCAGCTGAGTTCGGTAGTTGCCCATTTTTGTCTTTAGCCGCTGCTTCCACCCGTAGCAACCGTTGTATGAGCCAAGTTCACAGAGGCATGGGTGTTTCTTGATCAGTGCTTCAGCAACGTCACTGAAGTCTACATCTGTTGGGTAGGCTTTGAACTTGAATATCTCTTCTGCTAACTTTTCCAAAATATCTGACTTTGTTTTTGAACTCAGTGTCAACCTTGTGTTGTTTGACCTAAACACAGCATTTCCCTTTTCTAACTGTAGTTCAGAGTCATAGGAGAATTTTGGTATTGGAAACTCAAGTGGCCACATCTGAGTTCTTGTAGAGACAGAACTTGAGGGTGTGGACAGGAGCTCTGTGTCATCTGATTGAGTAGACGCTATATCATCACAGATAGTGAGAGTAATTACTTGGCTACAATCAACAGATATTGGGATGACCTTGACAGTTGCCAAATCCTCAAGTTCTGCAGTAGATGTCAAGTCCACTAGTGCATCTCCAAAGTCTCTGTCTTGGTACTGCAGTCTGAAATTGACATTTAACCCACACACTTTCCTGACTTCATCCATAAGCTGCTCCATTGACTCTGGAATTCCATCAGGCAGAATTAGCTTCCTGGTGTCATCAAGATTCAGAATAACCCGCAACTTGGCTGGCCTTTTGACTGCCATGTTTGCCCATCCAAAAGGATCTAGTCAAAACAAGAAAACAAAAGTATTGTAGTACAAAATTGTCCATAACTTACATTAAATTCATATTCACAAATTCATTGATTAACAACCCTGTCTTTTGACAAGTCTGGTTAAAAAAAAAAAAATTCCCCAGTCAATATTATTTAGTAAATTCTGAATATTTGTTTATGTCAAACTGCTAAGACCTTATGTTGTCTTAGCAGTCAAATCTTTACATAGAAAAAAGGACAGCAAATGTATTTTTCATTAGTGATATGCCTGTATGGATAGTAGAAATTAAAATGGCCATGAATAACTTTTGTACAGTATACAAGCAGGCCTTTGAGGATTGATTTCACATGCAAAAGTACTAATTCATTTAAATGTATTAGGTATTTTTCATTTACTTGTGTGGTATTTAGAAGGTGTACTATTATACCAACTAAAAATATATTATATTTTTAATATTAATATTATATAATGTATACAGTTGGGAACAATTTAACAAAAATCTCAGATGCCCACTACACTTGCATTGCATTGTCTGACAATGAAATAGACATTTATAAAAAAATATTAAGTTAAAAAAAAAAAATGTAAATGTCTCATTTGTACATTTGTAACCCCACACCCATATACAACCTTATGCGTGTATGTATCTCTTCAGAGAGACGAGGCACCGTCCACCAACCATGTAATGAACCAGAGGGTAGGGATCTGTTAGCTCATGTGCCCCAACAAGCCTTAGTTGTGTAGTAGTAGATTTAACCAAGGCATAAGATCGATAATGTTCCAGGTACCAGGCATCCAATTTTTTGACAATGAAAATTAGTGTCTCTTGTAGAACAATGATATGAACAATTTCAGAAAACTCTGGAAGTCCAGCCAGTGACCCATGGGCTACCACCATTCCAATCCTATAGTTGAATCCATTGTAGGACACATGTTTTGCAAGGTCCACAGTGTCCATATGTGGGTACTTCTGTTTCACAGCCTGTGCAATATCCTCATTGATAACATCGAGTGGAAGTGTTGATACATCAGCAACCTCCAACGGTGGCTTAGAGAATCTACACATGTGTAGATTATATGCAGTCTGAAATTGGTGCCTTTGAGCTAACGAATACAGTACATTTTTGTAACAGTTTGTATGACGGATTACTCTTTTAAAAAAGCTATGTTTTGCTTCAAATCTTATAGTCCATAGAGCAACAAGGGGTCCAAACTGGCGTATCAACCATGGATAGTGCTCTAAATAATGATGTTTAGGCAGAATTCTTTCATGGGGGAAAACTTCTTGGAACACTGTCCTGTGTTCAGATATTTTGAAGTCAAGATAAGAAATGGAGTCCTCAGTGTGAAAAGGTGCAACAACAAGTTCCACAATGTCCTTTAATTCACAGAGCACTTGCCATGCTGGTACATTCGAAGGTACTCTGGTTCCGATCAAAAGAGGAAGAAATCTCAACAGGCTCCAATTCTCGTGTACATTACCTCCAATTGTTTTCCTTGTAGTGTAGGAGAGGGGCACAACATGTGGACGGTTTGCCTTATCAGTCCACTTCAATGGAAATGTTGTTATTGCTTCATTCAAATTGGCTAATGTAAAATATTTTTTAGAAATTAACACATTAAGACAAAGAGCAATCTCAAAAGGGACAATTCCTTCAAAGATATCATGAGCTATATCTGGGGGAAAACTCTGTGTCACGCTGAAATATGACAGATTTTCAGACAGCACACAATTCTTTTTTACACCAAAATGACTAAACAATGAATTTTCTTCAATAGCTTTAAGATGAGAAGTATGAATGTCTTTGCTTCTTGCACAAAAAACTCCTGACTTGACTTCTTTTGTTTGAATGTCTACATTTTCTGCTGTACAAAATCTGCAAACATATTTACCAGAAAAACTTTCCACGAAACCTGCAAGACCGTGGGCCCCGAGATTGTCTGCTACTACACAATGAACAAACCCTTTAATGCTTTTTCCCAATTTGGCAATAAACAGTCCTTCTTGTTCCAATGTAATAAGATCATCTACTAAGGGCTTCAGTACGGTCTCATAACCATCGCACTTAACATATTCACTACGAATAAGCGCAGCTAAATATATATTAGACAGAGATGAGAGACAACTCGCAGGTAAGTTCCCCAATGTCCAATATACTCCACAGATTTTATGTTTTTTTCTGGAGGTACCAAGGGGATTACATATTTCAAAATCATCTACGTACAAAATGAGTGAAATAGCACACTCCTTTGACAATTGAAAATTTTCTTTGTAATTAGTACCATCATAAAAGGATTTATATTGAATTTCATCAGATTGAATTTGATGGTGTGATTTCAAGTTGATTGCTTTTTCCAAAAATGTTTGACAACTTAGGATCTGCTGTAAAGATTTTAGTATAGAGATGTATTGAAAAGATTTTCCGTTTTGGGAGTCGAGCACATATTCTATAGGTTCTACAATATCAAAATGTTTTTTGTAGTACGTCTTTCGCTTCCAAGCAGTCGAAAGTGGGCCATGACCACCAAATGAAGCTGAAAAAGGATTCGACTTGCAAAGAGTATATGCTAGTTCTTGCAGAACAGTTTCATCTACTTGACAGTTAACATTCTGTAAGTGCTGAGCAATGGTTTGATGTATAAGAGGGACAGAAGCAGTGCTTATTAAATAGTCAAACTCTTGCAAAAGTTCATCAACAGCCACACTAGAAACAAGATAAATATGTTCTAGCTTTAGCAACTTTGAGCTCAACATTACGTGGCAAATAATTTAAAACCTGATCATCCAAGTTTTCTGTACATAAATCCTCTGAGAGCTCAGTACCAACACTATTAATATGGATATTGTCAGAAATATGACTTTCAACAGAAATATCTGAGCTTGAGCCCTGTTTCTCAAGGATTCCAAGCTTTAAGTCATTAACTGAACAATCCTTATGATTTCTGCTTCTATGAGTTCGAAACAAACCATAAATATTTGTTTTGCATGAACACCCCTGAAACACACAATCAACTGTTTCATTGTTTTTCAGATGCTGTGCTATATGTTGAAAATAGTCTTTCAAAGTGGATGGTTGATTACAATTGCATAAGAGACATTTAAATGTGGTCAGTTCAGTTTGGGAGGACTGATGACTTCTTGACAAGTGGCTCAAAAGTGCCTTCCAAGTCTTGCAGGTACAAGGACAGTTGAAATAGATGCATGCATAGGAATGGTGGCGTCCATAATGTCTGTGTTCAAGCTTATAATGCTTAAGGAGCTCAGATCTTCGTGAAACAGAAGTACCACAGTCTTTGCATTTCCACATTCATTGAAAGACTAGGAAATAAAAAAAAAAGCATGGTATATTTGCATTTAATTTATAGAAACAGTTTGTTGTTGTTTTTTAACTTTAATATTTTAGATAAATTAAGGACATTTGAAGCTGCAAGAAATAACAGCATTTTTTTTAATACTGTCTGGTAAAATAAACCACATTAAATTGGTGGGTAACTTCTTGATTAGTTTTGATTTGGGGTTATTTTGTATTTGTAATTCTCGAAATGTAATAAAAAAAATCAAATAAACTAAATACTGACATGAAGTGAACCGAATTATATTTTCATACGGTCACGTACCTCTGTGGTAATTTAAAAGCTATTCTCTAGTGTTAGTCATTCCTATTTAAAACACATGAAAATAATGTTCACATTACTTTGGGACTCACCAAATTCAGCAATAAGGGCAAAATTCTGGAATTTCCAGGAAACAAAATCCAACCTGTAAAACAGAGAAAAAGGTGAGATTTCACATTTTAGTTTTTTGTTGGGGCAGTTAGCACCATCCATAATAATCACTACAGACTGTAATTATTAATTAGACCTTAGACATACTATTGTAGTGATAGTGTACTATACTGCATTATGCTGACAGGTGAAACAATGGAATATGAATTCTTCCTCTTCAATCAGAACTCATTTTCTAATTCAATACGTTTCATTAATGCAAAACTGTCAATCACCTACTATCAATCTCACACTCTTTTTCTAATATAGGGTGCGTTTTTCGTACAACGACGTAACTCGCTGCTTCACCACCATAGTACGATGCATCGTTGAACAAATCAACTAGCTAGTCACGACTGATCCCGAAACCATATTTTTGCAAACCTGTCGTTCAACCACGGTGGTGAATGATGTCACGCAGGTGGTGGAGTAATAACTTCTTTAAATTAATACGTTTGAGATCGAATTAATACTAGATTTTTTGCTATAAATTACGGACATGGCATCTGGGGACTAATTTTCATTTTTCTTAGTCATTTTGCTTTATTTCCAGATTCAATCTCTTTCTTGCGTACAAGAGCACGTAACGTACGCACATGCGCACTCTTCAAAAACGGTGCTTAAAATCTCGACAAACTAAAATATGTAAATGACATTTTTATATATTCGAAATAAAAGATATACATTGTACTTAATGTCAGCTTGCTAATTTTGCTCAAGATAATGATTTAAGTCCACATGTCATAAAAACAAGAAACTATGCTTCTAACTAGTGATGTCCGGTTCGTGAACGAATCGTTCGATTTAACCGGTTCTTCTTAGTGAACCGGTTATTCTACTAACCACGGCTGGAGATCTGTCGTTTCAACCACACAAGCTTGCGATGTAGTTTGTGAATGTTCGTTTGAACGATGGTTTCGGGGAAACACCACATCGTTGAACTATGTTAATAACGACGGAACTTGCGATGTCAGTTGGCTAACGATGCTATTGGGAAACGCACCTCATACTGGCCCCGCTTCAGCCATTTTCCTAACGTTATGTGAACTCCGAAGAATTGTTTTCCGGAGTTGTGCGGAACAATAACCCGCTCTATACACACATGGCCTCAAACAAACATTGATTCGGACAGTACCATTAACTTCTCATATAATGTTACCGTTACAGCTCCTGCAGTCAAATGTTAACGTTACAGCTCCTGCAGTCAATGTTTAACTAACGTT